AGCAGAAAATTTTTTTGTAACCTTGGCCAGATCTGTGCTTTGCCACAATTCTGTCTCTGAGCTCTTCAGGCAGTTCCTTTGACCTCATGATTCTCATTTGCTCTGACGTGCACTGTGAGCTGTAGGGTCTTATATAGACAGGTGGGTGGCTTTCCTAATCACGGTCAATCAGTATAATCAAACACAGCTGGACTCAAATGAAGGTGTAGAACCATCTCAGGGATGATCAGAAGAAATGGACAGCACCTAAGTTAAATATATGAGTGTCACAGCAAAGGGTCTGAATACTTATGACCATGTGATATTTCAGTTTTTCTTTTTTAATAAATCTGCAATAATGTCAAAAATTCTGTGTTTTTCTGTCAATATGGGGTGCTGTGTGTACATTGATGAGGAAAAAATGAACTTAAATGATTTTAGCATATGGCTGCAATATAACAAAGAGTGAAAAATTTAAGGGGGTCTGAATACTTTCCGTACCCACTGTATATATTAGCATGACATAACAATACACTAAAGAGCTAGTGAGATGATGTAAAAAACTTGTGTATACAGGATAAACGAGCATGGTTTGTGAAAATAAGTTTTAAAGTACATCCCGGTGTTTCCTACTGCAACATGCATCATACTATTCATAATCAAGAATAGACACAAAACATTAAAGAAAGAGCCTGTTAATGACAAAAAGAAAATCAATTTCAATTAAAAATAATTTGAAAATGCTTAACCACAAGGCTGGTTCCATACAGCAAAATTTAACAAAAGACTCAGTCACTTTCCTAAACAGATCCCTTTCCATTCTTTATATTCTGTGAGTTAATTTCTGAAACAACATTCTTAAAAAAGTTTGATATCTGACTCTTCATCTTCATCATCAGACTGGTTCCCTACTTTTAAATGTTTTTAATGTAACTGCAGTTGTTTTAAGAAAACAAGCACCAAAAGAAAAAAAACAAAACACATAAAGCTATTGAATTTTTAACAAAACACAATTCCTTTGCCCACACTTATTCCACACTGGGAATCTATTTTGAGCTGTAAAATTACTGCAGTGTTTCATATAGTGCAAATTAATCCAGCATGCGAAGAAACTATTCTCCATTTACCACAAAACCCACAGGTATTGGGATTGGATATCCCAGTCGGCTGAAAAGGAACCAGCAGAACCGTGCTCTAAAAGGATGATGTCATCAAAACTGGGTTCTTGCTGTCTTTATCATGGAAGAAGTGTGAAGATGGTGTTAAGCCATTTAAAGCCAAAAAATAAATTAATTGTTTAATCTTTACATGTCTGTGATAAAGAATTTATGTTGAGATACTGTATATCAGTCAGCCTAATATAGTCATTTTGACCAAAGCCAAAGATATTTTTCTTCTATTTAGAAGTAAACTCACTTTACAACTGTAAAAGCAAACAATACAAACATTTATGTTATTAACACATACTCCTGATGTGCATTTGGTTTTCTTGTCTTCACTGGCATCACTGATTTCACATACACTCTACCATGACAATAAATTTTGATGTACAGCTCATATCAAAAAGTTTTTACTTTGCCACGTTTTACAGTAAAAACCTACTCACTTTTGCGCTTTTATAAACATGATGCCAAACAAGTAAAGCCCCAAGTAAAGAGGAAAGTGTATTTGTAGAACTTGCTTAGCGTCTGAGAGTAGTTGTGTAGGATAATGTGTCACTGAAGGGTCTTTGGCATGGCTTGTCTGTGATGGAAACACATTCTTTCCAATATCCAGAACAAACAAAGCAAAACAAATGCCCCTACAGGCTCACTGGGAAACACCATCATAAACAGTGGAATTCAAATGGAAACCTACCCCATTCCTCCTTGAAAACCTGACCAGGACTCCCTTTGTCATGTGCATTAGCACATAAACCAGCCTACAGTGAAAACCGTGACCAGAAGGCCCCTAGGTTTTATAGGTAGAATGGTTCTGATTTGGAAAGTGGCAAATGCCACAGTGGGAAGAATAGTTTCTTCATAGGAAATTACCCTTGTTCACATTGAACTCTTTTGGTAAATTAAATTACCAACTCCCTGTGGGCTTGCTTCCTTTACTGCTACAAAAATTAAGCAGATTTAAAGTATCAATAATGAAGTTGTGACTGACTTTTATCAGTTTAATAAAGGTCTGTTAAAATCCTCCCAATGAGGAATGAAAGGGTACTGTCTTGATAATTCCTGAGATTTAGTGCAATAGTAGGCAATCAAGAAATATGCACGTGGACGTGGGCTACATAGTGTATTGTCAACCACCGACTCCATCTGCTAAAGCAGTTAACAATGCCTTGCTCAAGGGCAACTCAGTAATAAGTGTTGATGCAATGGATACATATCCTGTTCCATCCCCTTCTTTGATTTTCCTAGTATC